ACTCCTTCTCGATTAAAAAAGAAAAAAACCTGCTTACACCTCCAGCTGAGGGTGGCTGGCCCCACTGAGCCCTCAGAAGAGCTGCCACAGCTTCCAGCCCTCCTAAGCAGTGAGATCACAACTGTGTGTATTTGAAGGTCAGTTTAGGAGTGAGGATGATGTTGTGCATTCAGTCCCCAAAGCAGAGGCTGATGGGTGGTGAGGCCAGCCCACTGTCCTCTTCTGAACCCTCAGGCTAAAATGAAAGCCACTGTCTGCAGAAAGAACCCCAAAAGAGGGCCTGGAAAAAGAGAAGGAAACACTAATAAAAAGCAGCAGCATCTAACTGCTGCCAAGGGCAATGCACTCAAGAAATGCCTTGAAGGAAAGGCTGGCTGGGGGCCAGAGCCCTGGCTTTCAGAGTTGGCTGCAAGACCTTGGTCCTTGGAGAGTGCATAGTGCCCTCTACACAATGACCAGAGAAGTCCACCAGGAGTGCCCCATCCCAGATTCGTTTGTTTGTTTGTTTGTGTTGAGACTGGGTCTCACTCTGTAACCCAGGCTGGAGTGCAGTGGCTCTACTGTGGCTCACTGCAGCTTCAATCTTCTGGGCTCAAGTGACCCTCCCACCTCAGCCGCCCAAAGTGCTGGGATTACAGGCATGAGCCACTGAGCCCAACCCCATCCCAGATCTGTAAATAGACTTCTGTAGATGTGTATAAATTGAAAAAGGTTGCATGCCTTTTCCAATTACATTTGATCTATCAATCTTCCCCCTACCTCACCCTCCTTTTTTTTAACCAAAGCCTCTGTTTTTGCCTAGATTTTCAAGGCAAAAATAGTCTAGTGGGAGCAACTGCTACTACACTTCATGGACCTGGTCAAACACAACCAGGTTCACACTGCGGTGGGATTCTGCTAATAACTATGGACTTACAGAAATATACTCACATAGACTGGTGTCCAGCACTGGGCCAGGCCTTGGCCGTAGTCAACAAGGCGCCTTGGGGAGGGCTTCTTTCCAGGGTCTGCTCTGGCCAACGGGACATGGAAGAAAGCCCTGGGTGTGTTTGGAGGAAGGGAGGAAAAAAAAATGGGAATTGTTCTTTTGTTTTTGCTGGAGGTCAAGCAGGTTGAAGTGCTTAAGATCCCTTTAGGCAGAACTAAGCCAGTTTGTAAGCGTGTGGCACTATCATCGATTTATTCAACATTTACTAAGTGCCTACTGTATTCCTGTTCCTGAGAAAACCAGCGCAGATGAGACCATGGTCCCTTCCTCATGGTGCTCCCAGTCTTGCGGGGCTTGCAGACATGAGGACATGGGTGAAGGTCCACAGGAAGTACTGGCCTTGAAGGGTCAGAGATGGTGAAGTGACATCTAATTCAAGGTGGGAGAATGAGCAGAGGCTGAGAAGAGGCTTGTTTTTCTCTTGCATACTAAGCTATAGGTAGGTGAATGGTCCAGGCTGGGAAGATAGTCCCATGTTAAGAGGTTGTCTGGGGCCCATTGCCATCTTCTAGGGTGTTTTCCTCATTTGCATGATCAAAGCTAACACCAGCACCACTCCCACATTCCAGGAAGAAAGATGGAAATTGTGGAAGGCAAACAATTTCCTCTTGAAGAAGCTGCACACATCAATTTTGCTTGCATCATTCCACGGGCCAGAGTTTAGTCACATGGCAACTCCTGGCTGAAAGGGAGGCTGGAATATATAGTGTATAACTAAGTAGCCATGTGTCAAACTAAAACTAAAAGGGAAGAAGGGGAGATGGGCACTAGTGGGCTATTAGAAATCTCTGTCACAGGAGGGGAATAATGGTCTATGGAACTGCATGGTCAAGGGCAAGAGACACAAGAGAACAATGAAGCTGGGGAGGGATGTGCTAAGCATTGTATCAAGTGCCTTCTTTTCTTTCTTTCTCTCTTTCTTTTCTTTAGACAGAATCTTGCTCTGTCGCCCAGGCTGGAGTGCAGTGGCGTGATCTCGACTCACTGCACCCTCCGCCTCCTGGGTTCAAGCAATTCTCCTCTCTCAGCCTCCCGAGTAGCTGAGATTACAGGCACGCATCACCACGTCCAGCTAAGTTTTGTATTTTTAGTAGAGATGCAGTTTCACCCTGTTGGCCAGGCTGGTCTTGAACTCCTGACCTCAGGTGATCCGCTTGCCTCTGCCTCCCAAAGTGCTGGGATTACAGGCATGAGCCACCGTGCCTGGCCAAGTGCCTTATTTCCATTATTTCACTTAAACCTCACAATCCTATAAATAATGGTTTTTACCATTTTCATTTTGCGGAAGAGGACAGTGAAGGTCAGAGAGGTTTGTTAATTTGGCCAAAGTCACTCAGCCATATGGTGAAAACAAGATATTAATCTAAGTAAGTCCACCTGCTCCAGAGTTGCCGGTTTCTTCATGAGACTACACTTCCTCTCTGTAAAACTACCTAGAAGGTAGGCGATGGCATGGGAGATCCAGGCATCACTGGCAGAATGGTGTCATCAGTGGGGCACTGCAGGGGGTGAATGAAGACTATGAGGTAGGGGGGAATTGGCAACAGTCAGGAGGCAAATCCAAGAAGCAGCACCTGACAAAGCCAAACAGTTGTGAGTCTAAGGGAATCCAAGTTCAGGTTCCAGTTCTGAGTCTAAGGGAATCCAAGTTCAGATTCTACTTTGAGACCATTATTCCTGGTAGTTGAATCTTAGATTTGTGAGGAACCTTTCAAGATACTCAGATGTGAGGATGATCTTGACCCTCATTAACAAGATGGCTTTGATTAACAAGATGGCTTTGATAATCTACAGATATCCAGTCCCACCTCCACCCAGAGCAGGAGCCCCTCCCACAGCATGCCTGATGGTTACTCATCATTTCCAACCCAAATCATCTCAGTGTTGGGGACCTCACCGCTTCTCCAGTCAGTATCTCTGTCAGACAACTCCAGGTACCCACATGCCCTTCTAAATGGTCCAGAACAGGGGGAAATGGATTCCATACAGGTGTAGAGTTTGGGGAGACCCAGCTATCCACTCATGTTGAATACATGCGTGTTTAATCCATCAACCCACAGATTGAAGAGTTCAGGGAGATTAGAATTCCATCCACCAAGGCCAAGACAGTATGAATCTCTGTTCAGGGCATTCTCTTTACTGCAATTGTCCCAGGGCTGTGTGAGCCTGAGACCCTGGGCTGTCTGAGTCCAGGCAGCATTTCTCACCTCTGCGAATGTTAGGCATATTCATTACTTCTTTCACTCAGCAGCCTCACAGCCACAACCTTGAAGAAAATTCCCTCTAAAACTTGCAATAGATTCAGCCTATGAATAATTCAGTGTGGCTCCTGACTCAGGGGAAGTATTCTGTTTCTGATGCCTCTTAACCTAGAGAAACAATAGCTAGCACACCACAGGGATGCATCGCCTAGATTTGAGTGAATGGATGGGAGGAAAAAGGAAGGGAAGGAAAAATAAAAGAAGACAGGGAGGGAGGGAGGGACGGAAGGAGGGAGGGAGGGAGAAAAGGAGAGGGAAAGACGCAGAATAAATTTCCTCCTTCAAGTGGTCTTAGAAGTTCCCAAGGACCTTAGCTCATGCTGGGTAACAGGCCCTGAGGAAAGAGCTGTGACCAGGTTGTGGGAGCTGCCTTGGTGACGGGTCACCCTGCCTCCTACGGCAGCTGCAGGGGCATAAGAATTGAATGTGGAGCTCATCCACTATAGAACCATCAACTGAAATAGGAACTTACCACCGGTGTGCAAAGCTCCTCCCAGGATGGCCAAGGACCACCCCCACTTTGGCCCAGCATTGCTTCAAGACTCAGAAATGCAGAAGGGGAGAGGAAAGAGGTGTGGACTTGGGTCAGATGTTCCAACCCCAATTCTGCCTTTTGTGGCAGTGGGAGCATGAGAGGGTCACTAGTGCATGTTGTGGGATGAGGACAGGATCATGGGATCTGGCCAGAGACTGTATCCTCCATTCCTGTCCCATCATAGGGCAGGCAAATGCAAATTATTTATTACTGAAACGTTTTTGCCCTGCTGGACCAGGCTGTCCCATGTAAGAGATTCCTTAATGTAGGCTGGGGGCTCACCTAAGTAGGCTATGTTTCTTTTCTCCTGAAACCCAAACCAACTTAACACTCCCTTAGTAAGGAAAGGTGAGTTCAATAAAAATCACACCAAGGAAAAGCGAGCAAGACTTCCTGTGCAAAATCCATGCTGAGTAGGTGCAATCCACCTACCTCACACTCACACAGAAAGGGAAGTCCCAAGGCATGGCAGAAGAGCCTTCCCCCAACCCTCTGCCGTGGTCACCCTCCCCACCATGTAGGAGGAGATACTGGGGAGATACCTGAACAACTCACACCTGGCATCATTCTGTTCCTCAAGGATTGAAGACAAGGGCAGGCAGGGCTAGGCAGAGTGGGATTTTGATGTTCTCTTGAGGCCAGCACTCACTGACCTCTGTTTCCTCATCTTTTTTTTTTTTTTTTCTTGAGATGGAGTCTCGCTGTGTCACCCAGGCTAGAGTGCAGTGGTGCGATCTCGGCTCACTGCAACGTCCACCTCTGGGTTCAAGCAATTCTCAGGCCTCAGCCTCCCAAGTAGCTGAAATTACAGGCATGCACCACCACACTCTGGTAATTTTTTGTGTTGGTCAGGCTGATCTCGAACTCCTGAACTCAAATGACCCATCTGCCTCAGCCTCCCAAAGCGCTGGGATTGCAGGCGTGAGCCACCACACCCAGCCTGTTTCCTCATCTTTAAAATGGGAATTGTAAAAGCACCAGCCCTGTTACCTCAAGGGGTGACTGGGGAGTAAGCTGAGGCAGTAGGGGTGACATTATGTCATGGACAGCAAGGAACCTCACAGTTACACACCCCAGCTGCACCTGGCTCCTGGGAGGCGCACACTGTGTATGAAATGCTGTCCCTACCTGCAGGCTGCTGAAATGCTAGTCAAAAACGAAACATTCTAGGGACACCCCGAGGAAATAGTACAAGATGGCTGAATACCAGTACAACCTGGTATTGGTTCATGCAGATGGTGTGTGCAGTTAGCACGATTGTTCTAGAAGACTCCCACAGCCTTCTCCAATCAGGCGCCTGGCATCCTCTGTGCTTGGTGGGGTCACCAAGACTCCCAGCCTGGTCCTTGACTCTGCAACTCCAAAAATCCTTTCAGAAACTTCTCTCTCCTGGGAAACGCTTGTACCAGCCAGCCCCCCAGTCCAGAAAGCCAATGCATTCTTTACAGTGGAAGAGTACCCCTTCATTTGCACAGAGCACACATCTTTCTGGGATGTAAATCCATTCAAGGAACAGAGTAAGAGACCAGAAGTCTTCCTTATAAAAAGAATGAACCCAGAGGGTGCTGATCAACCTCCCCTGGTGTCATTTTGCTCCAGCACAAGTGCATAGTGATCACTTCCCATGCCCTTCCTACCCAGAGTGTTTTTCTCTCTGGGTCCACCGGGGGTTCCTGAGTCCTCATTTGGACCAGTCACTCTCCTGACAGTCCTTTGTCTCTCCTTTTTCTGTCCTGCATGAACCATTCTGCCAAGAAAACAAGGAGCAGATTAGAATACAGCTTACCTGGTGTGGTTCCCACTTTAGACACTGGCCTCCTTAACAAGACTGACAGTGAGCCGAATCTCCAAGTTCCTCCCCACCTCCCCCAACTCCAGACACTGGTTTCCAGCCCCAGGGAGCACCATTCCTTTCTGTGATGGGCTGGACTGCGGCCACTGTCCCAAGGACCAACACTACTCTTCAGGGGAGACTCCATCCTCCACAGCCAGGGAACTTACAGCAGACAATCTGCTAGGTCCTGGTTCTCAATATTTTTAGCTCACATCCCACCCACAACAATTCTGTCAAGCTTTACTACCTGTGGTTTGAATGATAAAAACATTGAATAATCATCATTATTATTATTATTATTTATATGAGACAGGGGTTTGCTATGCTGTCCAGGCTGGTCTTGAACTCCAGGGCTCAAGGAATCCTCCCACCTCAGCCTCCTTAGTAGCTGGGATTACAGGCACGAGTCACCACACCCGGCTAATTATTATTTTAAATTATATTAGAATACTGGAGGTATTTTCAAACGCTGCTGTACCAGGTCCACACGCTGACACCCCATCCCCACCCACTCCCAGGAGAACATTCCCTTCCACGCCCACCTTGTTGCGAACCGCTGTTTTGGAGTGATCTCTTCAAATGGACCTTCCTGCTCATGCTACTGAATCAATTCCGCCAGCATCCGGAGTGCCAGGCTCTGCACGGATGTAGCTCATCCTCTCTGTGGGTGGAGTGGGGGTGGGAAGAGGCAGTTTCTGAAGAAATCACCGCCACAAAATTCAATAGCTAAAGAGTGAGAATTTTTCTTTTTATTTATTTTAAAAATTTTCACTATTATTATTGCTTTAGAGGCGGGTCTCGCTCTGTGGCCCAGGCTGGGGTGCAACAGCTCGATCATAGCTCACTGTAGCCTCGAACTCTTGGGCTCCAGTGATCCTCCTACCTCTGCCTCCTGAGTAGCTGGGACTACATTTCATTTTTTGTAGAGGCAGGATCTCCTTATGTTGCCCAGGCTGGTAGAGCAAGGATTTTTCTAATTCTGCTTTAGAATTCTGAGGATGGCTCTGGAGTGAGGGATGGCACTCCTGTGAGCATAAGAAGATCTAGTGAGCTATAGAAGGAAAGATAATCTTGGAGCACAGCTCGACCTGCGCAAGGAGCCCAGAGTTGGGGGAGCCGGTGCCTGGCGCCCCCTGGCGGGACCGAGCGGTGCGGCGAGGGAGGGGCACGCGGAACCCGCCCGCGGCCCAGGGACCCCAGCCCTCGGCCTCCACCTCTGCAGTCTGCACGAAGCGCTCCTTTCCCCCAGCACCAGTTCCTGCAGAGGACTGACGCTGCGTGCCACCTCACTCACCAGGCAGACGAGAACCTGGAGGCCTGCAACCAATGGTGTCTCTTTCCGGAGGTCCCTGGGGGCGTCCTCGCCATTAATTATCCCGTGGAGCCCTCCAGGCTTTGTCTGTGCTGCCAGTGAGACAGTGAGTGCTGAGCCTCACCGGCGCTGGATGGGAAGGAAGGAAAGAGGCCGTGTCCCGCCCACCCTGGCAAGGCCACAGGCGTGTCCCAGTGTGGGATGCGGGATGCGGGGAGCCAGCCTCTGCGAGGAGATGAGGTCCTCGGGCGCAGACAGCAGTAGCCACTGGGTGGGGTTGATAGAAGCCCGGGAACAGGAGTGGGGGAAGCGACCGAGACAGGATCCCCAGAGAAGGGGGCGGCCAGGCAAAGCACCTCCCCTCCCACCAGGAGTGCATCGGAGCTGAGCGGTAGGGAGGGAGCCTCGCTGCTGTGGATGATCAAAGTCAGATCTTTTAGCTCTAATCTCAAATGTTTATGCTTATTTTATTTATTTTATTTATTTATTTATTTATTGAGACAGAGTCTCACTCTGTCGCTCAGACTGGAGTGCAGTGGCGTGATCTCGGCCCACTGCAACCTCCGCCCTCCCATCCCCCCCAACCCGCCCGCCCCGGTTTAAGCAATTCTCTGCCTGAGCGTCCAGAGTAGCAGGGATTATAGGCACCTGCCACCAAGCCCAGCTAATTTTTTGTATTTTTAGTAGAGACGGGGTTTCACCATCTTGGCCAGGCTGGTCTTGAACTCCTGACCTCGTGATCCACCTGCCTCGGCCTCCCAAAGTGCTGGGATTACAGGCGTAAGTCACCGCGCCGGGCCTTATGCTTATTTTTTAAAAGGCCACAAATTAGCATTGAGAACCTGTGGACCACAGCAGGATAGTCTTAGGGCAGAGGCTGGGAAACGCGGCCTTGTAAGGAGGTCAACAATGGGGAGAGCAGAAACTTGTCTCTGGGGACCCACGGTACCTGGTCTGTATTACCCATCTCCCTTTTGTCATTCCTTGGGCACCCTGGTTTTGAGCAAATCAGCCTTGTTCTCAATCTCCATGGCAGCTGGTCTTCTCGGGGTGCCCCAGGGTTAGACCATTGTCCTGGCTTCTCTCTCACTTCCTTGATGATCTCATCTGCTCTCATAGTTTAAATACCATCAGCATGGGATGACTCCCAAACTTCTATCTGCATCCTGGGTCTCTCTCCAAACCAGGCTTATATACCCAGTTACCTACCTGGTATATCCACCTGGATGTCTAGCAGACATCTCAAACTCAACATGTCCAAAACTGAAGCAGCTGATCTTTTCACCTCTACCTGCTCTACCAGCAGCCTTCCTCATCTCAACTGACGGCAACTCCATTCTTCCCTGCCAGAATCTTAAGACTCATTTTTCACTCCTCTCTTCCTTTCACACTCCTTGTCCAATTTGTTATGAAATTCTGTGGACATTACCTTCCACATATGTACAGAATCTGACATCTCACTGCCACCATTCTTATCACCATGGTCTCAGCCACCATCATTCCTTATCTGGATTTCTATAGAAGTTTCCTAGCAGGTCCGTCTGTTTCCTACCTTTACCCCCATGGCCTAGTCTCAATACAGTACTGGGTGGTCACTGAGAACATAAGGCCAATCGTGTGGTCACTCTGGTCAAGCCCCCTGCAATGGTTCCCATTTCTCTCGGAGGAAAAGCCAAAGGCCTTACATGGTCTACAATGCCCTCCCTGCAGGACTGAGTCCCAACACTTCTCTAACCTCACCTCTCACTCTTGTCCTCCTTGCTCTGCCCACTGCAGCCACAGTGGACTCTTTGCTGTTCCTCCAACATACCAGGCACATTCCTGCCCCAAGGTCTTTGCTGTACCCACATCATTGCCTGGAGTGCTCTTCCCAGATATTGTAATTCTCACCTCCTTTAATTCTATGCTCAAATCTCACCTTCTCAATGAGGCTTGGTGTGGACTGAATTGTGTCCCCCCTCCAAATTCCTAGTTGAAGGCCATGAAAGGAAAGCAAATCTCAAGACCTCCCAAATCACCAAGTCAAAGGGAAAAGTCAAACTGAGAACTGCATCAGGCAAACCTGCCTCCCATTTTATTTCTAAATAATAAGATAGTTACAAAGATAAGAAAGCTACATACCTCCCTCACAATTTCCTCATTAGGAAATTCTGGGGCCCCAAGATTTTTACCCTGAAATGGATCTGCTGAATTTTACTCAGACAATGTGAATGCATAACCTGTCTTCACGGGCATGGGACAAATGACAGAACTCTAAGTCATCCCTCTGCTCACTTGAGACACATGCATATCTGATTGCTTCCTCTGATGTAAAAATGCAGATTCAGAGCTAGACATGGCATAAGTGATTATTCCTCTACCATCCCCCATCCCCCGCCTCATGTAAATTATGTATTCAGTGAAAGACTCATCAAAGACTCAAAAGAAGGCCGGGAACAGTGGCTCACGCCTGTAATCCCAGCACTTCGGGAGGCTGAGGTGGGAAGATCACTTGAGGTCAAGGAAGTTGAGAACCAGCCTGCGGCCAAACATGGTGAAAACCCCGTCCTCTAACTAAAATACAAAAATTAGCCACCCCGGCGTGGCAGTGGGCATGTAAATCCCAGCTACTCCAGGGGGCTGAGCACGGAGAATCACTGGAACCGGGGTGGAGGTTGCAGTGCAAGGGTGAGATTTGGCCGATGCCTCCCAGCCTGGCGCCAAGACAAGCGAGACTACCAATCTCATCAGAAAAAAAAAAAAAAATACAAAAAAAAGGTTTAGCCGGGTGTGGTGGGCATTGCCTGCATCCCAGCTTACTTGGGGTGCTGAGCCACGAGAATCTGCTTTCGAACCCCAGGAGGTGGAGATTGGCAGTGAGCTGAGAATCATGCCACGTTGGCACTCCAGCCCTAGGGGACAGAAGTGAGATCTGTCTCAAAAAAAAGAAAAAAAAGATTGAGACCCTGGTTTTCAGTTCTTTTTTTGGTTTACCGAGCAAACCCCCATATGTGATGATTGTTTTTAGGACAGAGCCCTTAACCAAGGTTATTAGGGGCCGGCGGCCGGGTCTGGCTCAGGCCTGTAATCCCAGCACTCTTCGGAGCCCGAGACGCGGCGGTATCACAAAGGAACTCGAGCAATACCTGGTTAACACGCGATGAACCCCGTCTGCTACTAAATATCAAAAACTCAGCCGGGCGAGGTGGCAGGCGCCTGTAGTCCCAGCTACTTGGGAGGGCTGAGCCAGGACGAATGGCGTAAACCCGGGAGGCGGAGTTTGCAGTGAGCTGAGATCTGGCCACTGCACTCCAGCCCTGGGCGACAGAGCTAGAACTCCGTCTCAAAAAAAAAAAAAAAAAAAAAAAAAAGAGTAATTAGGGTTAAGAGAGGTCATGGGGTGGGCTTCCTCCATAGCGCTGGTAATCCTCATAGAAGAGGAAGAGACACTGCAGCGCTCTCTGTCTGCATAAGCCAGCACGAAGAAACAGGCATGTGAGCCCACAGTGAGATGGCAGCTGCCTGCAAGCCAGGAGAAGAGGCGTCAGGATGAAACCTGCGCCCAAGGACCTCATCTCCTCGCAGAGGCTGGCTCCCCGCATCCTGCATCCGACGCTGGGACATGCCTGTGGCCTTGCCAGGGTGGGCGGGACATGGCCTCCTTCCTTCTCATCCAGCACCGGTGAGGCTCAGCACTCACTGTCTCACTGGCAGCACAGACAAAGCCTTGGGGGCTCCACGGGATAATTAATAGCGAGAACACCCCCAGGGACCTCGGAAAGAGACACCATTGGTTGCAGGCCTCCAGGTTCTCGTCTGCCTGGTGAGGATGAAACCTGCCTCAACAGCACCTTGATCTTGGACTTCCAGCCTCCAGAACCATGAGAAATGTTTCCACTGCTTACGCCACCCAGCCTGGGGCATTTGTTATAGCAGCTCTAGCAGACTAAGACAAGACTGATCCTGCCATTCTATACGCTATTGCCACCTGCCCCACCCTTCTTCCTGGGGCTCCCAAATTCCCTTCCTTGCTCCACCTTTTCTATTTACCATAATTCTTAATGCCTTTTGATATATTATATAATTATTTTTTCTAACATACATTGTGTATTTTTCATTTCCCCTGCCGGAATATAAGCTTCACGAGGGCAGGGATTTCTGTTTGGTTCACTAATGTATCTAAGTGCCTGGAACAGTAAGTTCCCGGTGCATAATGGCCATTCATTAAATCTTTGTCGGATGAAGGAATGAATTCTTCTCAAAGAGGCAAAAGGAAGCAAGGAGAGGGGTTTTATTTTATCTTAGAGCTGCTCATCTCTAAAGGAGAAGTCCATCCAGGGAATGGACAGAAGGGCTGAGCCAGCCTGGCTGTGGCCTCGCGCATGCAGAGGGCTCAGGAGACTAGAGACAAGGTCGCTTGGCCAGCACCGTTCTCATCTGAGAGTCACACAGACTGGAGGAGTCACACATTTTATTTAAGGGAGACCACGTTCTCCAGTGGAAGCAGGAAGACGTTCCAAGCACACAGTATGCACAAAGGCACAGAGGCAGGAAGCTCTCTGGGAATAGAGATTTGCAGGGAGTGTGAGCAGAGGACAGTGAGAGCAACACAGAGTCCAGAGAGGAGGAGGACTGTCAAGCTCACGTACTGAGCTTTATTTGGCCAGGAATCTGGAGCCACTGAAGGATTCAAGCAGGGAAGCAAGCTGATGGGATTCACTTGTTTGAAAGATCACTTAGGCAGCAGCTGGAAGAGAATCTGGCCGCAAGGAGACCACTTAGGAGAGGGGGCTGCACTTGTTCCAGGTACCTCAGAGCAGTGTGCTTTTCCCCATGCCTTGGGAAGAAACGTTAAGTGCGGGCACATACATCTTTGTTAACAGGTAACAGCCATGCACGGGCAAAGCTAGTGCCAGCCTGCCCCCCGAAACCTCAGGGGAGGGAGGGAAACCCAAACTTGACACCACAAGGTACTTCTGCTGACCTTCCTACTCAGAGTGAGATGGACCCAAATAGTCGGGCTTTTCTTTCTTTGGCTCTTAGCAAGAGAGGGACTCATTGACAGCCAAATATGATTCAAAACACTCCAGCCTCAGCGTTTCCCTTCAGACCTTCCCATCAGACTGTTGCCATGACAACCATTGCTGACCCAGCCTTGAAAAAGCGGCAGCTGGAGCCCAGAAAGGATGTGGTCCTGCTGCTGTCGCTGTTCCTCG